AAAGTTTACTAGAGATTATTATGCTAAATCATGAATTGAAAGGTTGGGCTGTCCTGGTCTTGCATCTGATGGAGATTTGCTGAGGGGGGATGGGATAGGCTGCTGCTTCTCCTGTAGTAGATCGAATGTCTGAACACTTTCTAATGGTTATGCTGAGACAAAAAGACTAAACTAAGAATAAGCTAAGTTTTTTTTTAGGTTTCTATAGGTACCACCTTCCAGGGTCTATGTTCAACGATTATCAGTTAATTATGAAGTACTGTCAACTAATTTTTTTTCTGAGTTGGAGTCTCACTGTGTTGCCCAGGCTGGAGTGCAGTGAAACACTCATGGTCACCAAAACCTCGATTGGCTGGGTTCAGGCAATCCTTCCACTTCAGACTTCCAAGTAGTTGGAACTACAGGCGTGTGTTACCATGCCCAGCTCTTTTTTTTGATTTATTGTAGAGATGAGGTCTCGCCAAGTTGCCCGGGCTGGTCTCGAAACCCTAAGCTCAGGCAATTCACTCGCCTCCGCCTCCCAAAGAGCTGGGATTACAGGAAGAAGTACCGAGCCCGCCGTGTACTCAGCCCTCACCAGGTCTTCCGCGCGACCCCACCCAGCTTCAGGGAACCGAACCTGAGAGAAGAGGATGGGTAGTGGGAGGGGTTAGAGTGCAAAGGACAGGAGGGAGGTAGTTGAGGTGGTGTGCTAGAGTCTGAGGAAAAGTCCCCGGAACTCGGTTACCTTGGCGACCTTAGCCGGAGGGATCCAAAGCTGTCGCAACCTGCCGGTTGCCGCTTCTCTCCTCCCACTCACTCTTTGCTTTAGCTCCGCCTCCTTGTGCCTAGAGGCTGGAAGCCGACGCCGACCCCGACGCTGACGCGGTTGCCTAGCGACACACTTTTCCCAAGATGCTTAGGGTGTTGTTGTGGTCTTCCTAGCCAATAAGAGGGCGAAGCGAGCTCGCCGCCTGCCAATAGGCTACTAGGCCGAGCCCGCGACGGTTAAACGGGAAGGAAGGCCAGGGTGGCCGGTCAGTGCGGCTTGAGGGGCTCTCTGGGTGTGCGGCGGGTGTCCTGAGGCGCCACCTGCGGGAGGCAGTGCGAGTCCGGCGGCGAGTCCGGCCATGCCGTCCCGGGCGGAGGACTATGCAGTGCTGTACACCATTGGCACAGGCTCCTTTGGCCGCTGCCAGAAGATCCGGAGGAAGAGTGACGGCAAGGTGAGCGCGGGCCTCTTCCCTGTGCCCGCCCCTGCTTAGGTTTCGTCAGCCCGGGGGCGAGCGCACCAAAGGGAACCGAGGGGCCTGGGGGACTGGGTGCCTGGAAGACTCTTCCGTTTCCCCTGTGTCGCTTAAAGGATGGGAGACCACGTCTTCGATATTTTTTCCCCCCACCTTTTGCCATTTCTCTCCAAATTCCTCTCTCCTGCTTTGACTTGCTGAGGGCCTTCCGCTGGCGACGGGTAGCAAACTCTTGAACTGTTGTTAGGGAAGAAGCCTTGTATTTGTAGTCGGAAGTGTCTTAAAATATCCATTATGCGGATTATTGGATTCACATTTCCCAGTGTGTGTAGGTAGATCTCCTACAGAAAGAAACATTGGAGAGAATGCCTGGCTACTGCTGGAGGGATCCCTTACTAAGGTCTCATTCTGGGAAAGCTTGACCGGTTGAAAAGGTCAGGGACTTTGAGCACCTCTACCCCAGTTTTGACCAGAGTACCTTTTTTGCCAACCTCCCACTAAGCAACTGAGGGGAATGGACTGAGGGAGGCTTCTGTGCCTCATCCTCCTCTTTGCCCCGGAGCATCGTGTACTGTTTAAAAGATTATGGAAGTAAACTCGGGGCTCCTGAAGTTTACTGAGCTAAATTAGATTATAAGGACCTTGATTGTAGGATATATGTAAAAGGAAGGTCATTTTTCATTCTTTTTTGAGCATAACAAGTTCATTCATAACTAGGAAATTCTTATTTCAGATATTAGTTTGGAAAGAACTTGATTATGGCTCCATGACAGAAGTTGAGAAGCAGATGCTTGTTTCTGAAGTAAATTTGCTTCGTGAACTGAAACATCCAAACATCGTTCGTTATTATGATCGAATTATTGATCGAACCAACACAACGCTGTACATTGTGATGGAATATTGTGAAGGAGGGGATCTGGCTAGTGTAATTACAAAAGGAACCAAGGAAAGGTAAATGTAATCTTTTAAATGTAAGCTGAAAATGGGTCTGGTTTCATTTCTGTTAAGCATCTTGCTTTAGGATCAGGTACGAAGTACTCAGTGATATGGAAGAGTGTACTTGTATTTGGTAAGTCCACAGTACTTTAGGAAATTCTTGATTTATTTTGTATCAAAAGAATAACTTATTTCCCTATTTGCACATTAGATAATTTACATTATCCCATCTTTGTAGTTATTTTATTTGGAAGTTATGCGCTGTATAACTTTTGGTTTCAGACAATACTTAGATGAAGAGTTTGTTCTTCGAGTGATGACTCAGTTGACTCTGGCCCTTAAAGAATGTCACAGACGAAGTGATGGTGGTCATACTGTACTGCATCGGGACCTGAAACCAGCGAATGTTTTCCTGGATGGCAAGCAAAATGTCAAGCTTGGAGACTTTGGGCTAGCTAGAATATTAAACCATGATACAAGTTTTGCAAAAACATTTGTTGGGACACCTTATTACATGTCTCCTGTAAGTATTTCAGGATTTAGATTCTTTTTTAAACTTCTTAATGATAAGCAACTATGGGTTGTCTGAGCAAGGAAATTGAGTTGTTTGTTTACTACTCTCTAGTAGCCAAGAATTAATAGCACTACTTCATTTTACGTTTATATTTTTCCACATGGGCCACCAGACCAGTAAACTGTAGCGATTCAAGCTTTTAATGAATGACTATCATGCACTAAGCTCTGGGATTACAAAGCTGAAACCAGTTTTGTTTCTGTCTTCAAAATCAGTATTCCCAAAATAGGTACTGGTCATCTGCATCAAACTCACTTGGAGTGTTGTTTTTTTTTGTTTTTTTTGGTTTTTTTTGAGTTGTTATTTCTGTCGCCCAGGCTGGAGTGCAGTGGCACGCTCACAGCCACCCTAGTGTTGACCTGCTGGGCTCTGACGATCCTTCTGCCTCAGCCTTCCAAGTAGCCGGAACTACAGGCGTATGCTGCCACACCCAGCTAATTTTTTATTTATTGTAGAGATAAGGTCTCACCAAGTTGTCCAGGCTGGTCTCGAACCCATGGGCTCAGGCAATCCACTCGTCTTGGCCTCCCAAAGTGCTGGGGTTACAGCGTGAGCCACTGAACCTGGCCTGGAATGATTTTTTAAAATGTGGAATTCTAGGCTAGGCTCCAAGGCTCAATCCATTGAATTTGGATTTCTGGGCAGGTTTGCTCCCCCCCCACCACTTTTTATTTTGGACTTGCGTGTTAATCGATTCCCAAGATGATTCCTGTGCATGCATATTCAGGGCTCAGGAAGCTTGCTCACTTTAGATAACATGTTTTTACAATGTTAACTTTTTGTACCTATTCTTTTTTGTTGCCTTTTTCTTGAAATAATTCCTCTGCAGAGTCCACCCACTTTACTTACCCATTGCCTCTATTGCTGGATATTTTATTTCTAAAATTTCTCACTATTCTAAGGAGCACTGTTCTGTACGTCTTTGTATGAATTATTTTTTCTTCCTTTTTGGTTATTTTCTTGAACTGTACTCATAAAATTAATTGCAGGGTTTTTAAAAAATTTGAGTGAATAGTGATAGCACCAATGTGTTCGTATATGAAATCTGAACAGATAAAGATGGAGAAATATTTATTAGTATCTTAGTAGTCACATTTCTAGGATTTTCCAAATATTTATTATGTAAACACACCTCATTTACTATAGTATCAAACTTTGCAAATTAATGATTTTGGTTTTTTACTAGAATTAGACATGGCTGGAATAGTGACATTTTCTCACTGTATCAGATTCCAAATAGAAAGCTTTTAGTATTAAGGAAAATTATCCAGAAGTGGTTCTTAATAAACGTGAAACCTGTGCAATTCTTTTGTTCCTCTTCCCTCCTCCTTGTAACTAGATAGGTTCAGCTTCCCTGAGACATTGTTAAAAAGTAGCATCAAACTCACCATTTGGACTTTAAAATACTAATCAGCCTCCTGGAGATTTTGTTGGTACTTTTCTCTGTTCCTCCTGTTGATAATAAGAGCTTTGGTAGACTTTTGTTACTGTAGGTGTGGAAAAAAGGCAAACAATTAAAATAGTTACTGCTGTGATTTATACAGTGGACTAAAAAAATATATAGGTACGATGACAAGCTATAATCCCAGCACTTTGGGAGGCAGAGGCGAGAGGATTGCCTGAGCCCATGGGTTCCAGACCAGCCTGGGCAGCTTGGCAAAACCTCATCTCTACAGTAAATCAAAATGATTAGCTGGGTGTAGTGGTGTGCGCCTGTGAGTCCAGCTAGTTGGAAGGCTGAGGCCGAAGGATTGCCTGATCCCAGTTGGTTGATGCCGTGGTGGCTAGAAACATGCCACTGCACTCTAGCCTGGGTGACAGAGTGAGACTCCGACTCAAAGAAAAAAATATATAAATGGATAATTCAGTTAGTGATATACGCCTGTGTCCATTTACGTGTTGGCTAGATATGTATTTTGATTATTCTGGAATTTTCTCTGGGTCTTTTAAAATGGTGTTTCTAGATTATGAATGTCTTGGGTAGAGGTCTCTCATATTCACCTTTGAATTATCTATGCCTAGCTTATAGTAAGAACTTCTGTTTGTGAATAAAAAATAAGTGAATGACTCACATATGACAAATTATATTGGGACAAGATCATTGCCTTTTTTCCACTATAAATTTGAAAATAAAATATAGGCTAAAAGCTTTGAGTTTCCATTTTTGTCTCTGGGATAATTTATAAGTTCTATTAAGTTTCTAAACAAAATAAACTCTTAACACCTTTCACTTTCTTACCTTTTTCCCCATTTAGGAACAAATGAATCGCATGTCCTACAATGAGAAGTCAGATATCTGGTCACTGGGTTGTTTGCTGTATGAGTTGTGTGCATTAATGTAAGTATGATGAAGGAGATTCCTAGTCTAAGGTTTGTTACCTCTCGCTCAATTTGCTTTTTGAGTATTCTTGCTAATGGAAAGCATATTCAAATCTGAGAGAATTATACCTTGGGTTAAAATTAAGGTAGATGGACATATTAAAATAAACTATTTACAAATTAAAACTATAACCCTGGAGGATGGGTCTTGACTGTTCAAGTTTCTTGACTGGCTAGGTGCTTTCCTAGACTGACATAATCTCAAGAGAAGAGCACATAGGTCAGGCAGGTAAGGTAAAACTACCATAAGGATATGGGAGAAATGAAACAAAGACCAAGGGGAGAGGTCTGGTGATCTGGAGAACAGGAAAGAGCTCCAATTCTTTCCCTTTTTTCTTATTTTCATCCCCCCCTTCCAATCTATTCTAAAGAGCAATAGTTCTCAATCTGGGATAGGGAAAGCAATTCTACCTTATAGGGCATTTGACAATGTCTGGAGACATTTCTGGTTGTCACAAATAGGGAGTGCTCCTGCCTCTAGAGCAGCAGTCCCCATCCTCTTTGGCATCAGGGACAATTTTTCCATAGACCAGTGTGGGGAGATGGTTTAAAGATGACTCAAGCACATTTATTGTGTACCTTATTTCTATTATTATTACATTGTAATATATAATGAAATAATTATACAATTTGCCATTAAAAAAAGGCATGAACAGAAATGGTAAATAAAATAATGGGCAGGCCACGTGTGGACTAAAATAAGTGTCGGATGCTGACTTAAAGCCTGCCACCAGATGTAGCTATACAACTGAAGTATATCAACTCACTTGCCACTCACTGATAGGGTTTTGATATGAGTCTGCAAGCAATTGATTTATTATGGTCTCTCTGTAGTCAAGTCTCACTGCTAATGTTATTGGTATTTATAGCAGTTCCCCAGTGCTAGCATCACTGCCTTGATGCCACCTCAGATCATCAGGCATTAGATTCTCATAAGGAGTATGCAACTGAGCTCTCTCACATGCATAGTTCACATTAGGGTTCACACTCCTGTGAGAATCTAATGCTGTTGATAATGTGACAAGAGGTGAACCTCAGACAGTAATGCAAGCGATGGGAAGTGATTGTAAATACAGATGAAGCTTTGCTTGCTTGCTCACCACTCACCTCCTGCTGTGTGGCCCAGTTCTTAACAGGCACAAACTGGTACCAGTCTGTGGCCTAGGGGTTGGGGACTCCTGATCTGGAGGATAAAGGTCAGGGAGGCTGCAAATTATCTTACAATGAGCATGACAGCCTGTCATAACAAAGAATTACTTGACCCCAAATGTCAATAGTGCCAAGGTTGGGAAATTTGGCTATAGAGGAATATCCCAGAAGTAAAAACATAAGTACACACTGAACCTTAAACTGTGCTTTTGATTTAGTTCTTATTATTTATTTTCATTTTTATATTTTGAAAATTTCTTTTTTTTAAATCCCAGGCCTCCATTTACAGCTTTTAACCAGAAAGAACTAGCTGGGAAGATCAGAGAAGGCAAATTTAGGCGAATTCCATACCGTTACTCAGATGAATTGAATGATATTATTACAAGGATGTTAAATTTAAAGGTAAAGATTATAAGATTATATATTGTCTGTTTCTAGCTCTCAGTTAAATGTTAGAGTATATATTCTCTCTTGTAGAGCAATGGAAACTGAAGAAACATTAAATATACTTTCTTAGCTAAATATACTCTGTTAACACAAGTGAAAACATATGTAAATCTGGCAAATTGCACATCCTTGCTGGCCTACCTTCTGCGCTTTATTTCTTCTCCCATTCTGCCATGCTAACAGATGGTTGGTAGCAAGGAAAGATTGCAAAAAGAATTGAAATCCTCAGTTCCCCTTGTCGTAGCCTACCTCACAGTGGCAGGTAGTAAGGGAAGGGGCAAAAGGAGTCGAGGAAAAATAACTTGAATAAAGAGATTGTGTGGAAATACTCTGGCCACAGAATGGGGAGGGAGATATTCTGGGCATCTGGCTGATGTAACAAAGGAAGGGAAATGCTGTTAAGACCACAAGGATATAGGGCGTGTAACAGGATTGAGGGTCGATGAGAGAATATCCTGCTTAGTGTAATTCAGAGATGCAAGGACAGTACTTCACCTAACACAGATGTTAGCAATGCTACCAAGATATTCCAGAGTTCTTCAGGGATTAAGCCTTCTTAGAAAGAAGAAAAAGTTAAAGTCTACATTATCTGTGGACCCAGTACCTCATGAATTAAAACCACCAGTGAACTTATTTTTCCATGTGTTTAAGACCTAGCCATAAAGGAGTCCTTTCTTTTGTCTTGGAGAGAGATATATATATACATTTGCCCTTTTATTTTAACTGCTGTCTTAGGACAACTGTTCTGTTATGCAGTCTTTGACACTGGATATTTTCCCCCCAGGATTACCATCGACCTTCTGTTGAAGAAATTCTTGAGAATCCTTTGATAGCAGAATTAGTTGCAGAAGAGCAAAGAAGAAATCCTGAGAGAAGAGGGCGACGATTAGGAGAGCCAGAAAATTCACAGGATACTAGCCCTGTATTGAGTGAGCTGAAACTAAAGGAAATTCAGTTACAGGAGCGAGAGCAAGCCCTCAAAGCAAGAGAAGAAAGATTGGAACGTGAGTGTGAACCAGTGTCAAAGTAAAGGAGAGCTACCAGTGGGTTATTTTGATGTGTGTGAATATGTTTGAACAGAATATTTTATATGTGTAAATCTTTTTTTTTTTTTGAGTCAGAGTCTCACTCCGTCGCCTAGGCTGAAGTGCAGTGGTACACTCAAAGCCACCCGAGCGTCTATCTGCTGGGCTCCAGCAAGTCTTGGGCTTCAACCCTCCAAGTACCAGAACTATAGGCACATGCTACCATGCCTGGCTAATTTTTGATTTGTTGTAGAGACGAGGTCTCGCCAAGTTGCCAGGGCTGGTCTCAAACCCACGGACTCAGGCAGTACACTCACCTTGGCCTCCGAAACTGCTAGGATCACAGGCTTTTGTGTAGGTCTTATTAGAACCTTCTTATAAACACTTGAGAAAACAAAATACGTGTTGTGAACTAAAGCTTGCTGGCTCCTTCATGTTGGACTTTCTCTGAGATCAGTTGCTAATCATTATATATTTTTGGACATTAACTGGGTTGGCCCTCATGCAGTAGCCATTATACTTTACTGTAGAGTTACTTTTTTCTCTCTCATCCTTAGTATAAATACTCTTAAGGTTTTTCCACTCTAAAGGAAGGTCTTAAAATTTGCTGCCTTCCATAATATAACCCATGATTTTTATCTTTTGAAATGGCTGCTTCAACATAGTTTTAGGTATAAAATCCTACTATATGTTTAGACTGTATGTGCTCAAAGCAATCCAATAGAGAATATAGGTACAAGATATTTTAGGTCTATAAACAGTGTTCTGATGGGTATTCATGTTGTCTTAATTCATTAGGTACTAATTAGTTTTTGATGTTAAAAGCTTGCCTACTCTACTAAGGTGAGAATTGCTAACTAGGTTTTAGGATTTTGCAAGATAACAACAGACATGAAGCTTTTCATTTCAACATGGGAGGTGAGAGGTAGGGTTTTGTCTGTCTCTTATCACCCTCATGACTCACCTTATTTAACTTCCACAGCTTTATGCCAAATGCAGACTTTAATTTTTTTTAAATTTGTGCTTAAAAAGCATTCACTGTGTTTGTTTGTTTTTTGTTTGTTTTGTTTTTTGTTTTTTGTTTCTGAGTTGGAGTCTCACTCTGTTGCCCAGACTGGAGTGCAGTGGCACACTCCCGGCCACCGTAGGCTGGACCTGCTGGGCTCCGACGATCCTTCCGCCTCAGCCTTTCAAGTAGCCAGAACTACAGGTGTGCGCTACCACGCCCGGCTAATTTTTGATTTATTGTAGAGACGAGGTCTCACCAAATTGCCCGGGCAGGTCTTGAACCCGCAGGCTCAGACAGTCCTCTTGTCTCAGCCTCCCAAAGTGCTGGGATTACAGGCTGAGCCACCGAGCCCAGTCCACCATGTTTGTTAATGTCTTACTTCCTCATGATAATGAAATAATGACTAGCCCTATGAGGTATGCTTACTGTATAGGTACAACCTATGTTTACCCAGAAACCTATTTTTGACTCTTATGTCAAAGGAATTCTGTAAAACGAAAAAAACAAGGAAAAAAACCTTTTCTTAAAAACTTTCCTGGTGTTTTGTAATCTCATATAGCAATGGAAATCTGAACACTTTCTGAATTCTGGACCATAAATAATAGTAGTGTTTTTTACTAATCTAAGGAACTACCTCCTGCTGGGTGCAGTGGCTCATGCCTGTAATCCCAGCACTTTGGGAGGCTGGCCAAGGTGAGAGGATTGCTTGAATCCAAGGGTTCGAGACCAGCCTAGGCAACTTGGGAAGACCTCATCTCTACAATAAATCAAAAAATTAGCCAGGTGTGATGACGTGCACCTGTAGTTCCCACTACTTGGGAGGCTGAGGCAGAAGGATCCCCTGAGCCCAGCAGGTCGAGGCTGCAATGGCCATGGGTGTGCCACTGCACTCCAGCCTGAGCGACAGTGAGACTCCAACTCAGGGAAAAAAAAGCAAAACTACTTCCTAACTGCACTGTGTGTGTATGTGGGGTTTTTTTTTCCCCTTCTATTTGGGTGCTGTCATTGAACCAGAAGATTTGTCCTGTGAGGCCAAGTCGTGCCCTGAAAGTTAGCTGCTGCCTGTCTTCAGTGGAGAGCAGAGATGGCTTTAGTTTTTTGTTTTCCCAAATGAGTTACTCCCACATAACATGACCCCAAGGTTGAAGCTAACTTTATACTTGTGTTTAAACAAGTTCTTATGAGAAAACCTAAGCTAGCATACAAACTACTAAAACACTGAATTAAAAACTAGCACAATCAGGTTTACTGAGGTATACCTTGTATGGTTAGAATCCCCTCTTAAAACATTGCTAGTCAAAAATCAGGCATGCTGGTGCTAGTGATAAGAGGTGATAAGATTACCAAATGTAGATTGTTTTATAACCAAGGGCACTTGTTAATTTTTTTCCTTTCTTTTTCCATTCCCTTTTTAAAGAAAAGGAACGTGAGCTTTGTGTTCGTGAGAGACTAGCAGAGGACAAACTGTCTAGAGCAGAAAGTCTGTTGAAGAATTACTGCTTGGTCAAGGAACAGAAATTCCTGTCTCTGGCAAGTAGCCCAGGTATGAGAATCACTCAGTCAATAGAAGCTGGCGCTACAAATGAGATATGCCCCAGTGTTGTCCCCAAGGTGGCTTAAGTAGCCCTTTTCATTTACAAAGTCTTAAATTTTAAGATGGATTTCACAGAATATATGCAATCCAATAGAAAAAATTCTGTTATTGCAATTATTTATTTACTGGATTCATATACCTGAGGGAATGAGTCATATGATTTCACCTTTTATTTTCTTTGCCTTATCAAACTACATGTTTAGTATTTAATATTTATTTCTAACAATTATGGCATTTTAAAGACTACAGTACATTTCATATTTTTCTGTGTATATTCTCAAAACTACCTTTCTTTACATCTTCAAGGGAAAAAAACAGCATTTTAATACTGCTACACCTCATCTTTCATAGAAAGTATGGCTTAAAAGGTGTGACAAGCCACTGCAGAATAGACTAATTTGAATCTTTGCTAGGACCCTTGAAAGTTGAAACACATATTTGTTGAAATTTAATTGTTTAATATCTACATGTGCTGTATGATTTTTTTCTTTATTCAGAGTCTGGTATAGAGATTTCTCAGGGCCTTGCCTTTCTATGGCATTGTTCCTTCATTCTGCTGCAGTGACATGTGGTTATTGTATATACCAATGAACCATTGTCCAACGTGCTTTGTCTATTTTAATAGAAATTCCAAATTTAATTTAGTATCTGGTTGTAGTGGCGCACATCTGTAATCCTAGCACTTTGGGAAGCCAAGGTAGGAGGATTGCTTGAGCCCAGGAGTTAAAGACTAGCCTAGGCAATATAGTGAGACCCTGTCTTTAAAAACAATTAATAATAATTTAATCTCTTTAAGGTTATGGAAAATGCAAGCTAGTAAGCATCTTTTTGCATGATTTCTTTATGACACAAATTTTTTGTTATTTTCATCTTTTGTAAATTGAGAGAGAATCTGATCAATTTAGTGAGCATTGGCTGCATTTTGTAAATGGAACAAACCAAACTAATTAAATTAATCAGGCATGGTGGTGTGTACCTGTAGTCCCAGCTACTTAAGAGGCTGAGATGAGAGGATTGCTTGAGCCTGGGAGGTTGAGGCTACAGTGAGCTATGATTGTGCCACTGCACTCCAGCCTGGGTGACAGGGTCTCACTCTGTCAAATAAAAAACCTCTACTTAAGTTAGTTTGACTGTAATAACTTTATAATGAATAAGTGATGAAAATAAATGAATAGTAAATAAGTGATGAAAATAAATACTAGTAAATATTAAGTATTTACTAGTAAATTAAACAAGTATATGAAACTTTTGGTTTCATCACTGTTAAAATATCTTCTAAATATTGCTATCTACCATTTCAGTGTTTTTGTAATATTTATTTCAGCATTTCTTAGATTCCACACTGCCACCTATAAAGACAAAATACACTTAAATCATGATAAAGGGTGATAAAGCAAGGAGAAAATTTTATCTGGGTGAATTTAATGCATCAAACCCATTGCAGAGAATTATCTGAAGACCCTGTTGGGGATGGCTCTTCCAGCTAAAGAGTTTATTTACATCTTGCCTGGATCATCCTTGAACAAAGGATGAAAATGGCTAGATAAAGATGTATGTTTTACTTTATATGATACATAGGTGAGGATAGGAATCTACCTGTGTGTGAATTACAGTAAGTATTTAAAATGAGCCACAGGAATTGAATCTCCACTAGCCTTAGGAGACATTTTAAAGTACTGAGGACTAAAAGTAGTGAGCGTGATAAAGCAACATAGCAGTGGGAGTCAGTGCCATCTGAACTTGGAAATATCCTCTGCCCATCCTTGGATTTTAGTTCAGATATGAAGGAGGCATCCCAAGAAGTATAAGCTTTTCTTATAAAGCTATCCTATTAAGAGCCCAGGATGGTGGCATACCTGTAGTCCCAGCTACTTAGGAGCTGAGGCACTACTTTCACTTGCACCCAGGAGTTTGAAGCTGTAGTGCACTACAGTTGCTCCTGTGAATAGCCACTATACTCCACCCTGGGCAAAATAGTGAGACCCTATCTCAAGAAAACCAAGAACAAATAAAATTGTCCCATTAGTAAGATAGGAGATTTACAAATATAACCTGCTATCCCAGAGAAGATAGGACAGGCACTTAGATTTCTTTTTATTTTTTGTTTTAGAGATGTGAGGTACAGTTCAGGGTTAGGTATACTAGTGGACATTGTACAGGTGAAGTTTGGACCTCCCTTTGATCCCCACTTTGCCTGGTTTGAGATCAGGTACCCTTATTGATGTTGTGTGTGTGTGTCCCCCTCCTCACCCCGACAGTATCCCACTACTGCCAATCCCTTTCTTATAGTATTATGGTAAATGTTCAGGGTCCACTTATGAGTGAGAACATGTAGTACTCTGTTCTTTGTTTCTGTGATAGATCACTGAATATCATAGACTCTAAATCCATCCAAGTTGCTGAGAAGTCCACATGTTTGTCCTTTATGGCTGCATAATATTACATTGTGTATATGTACTACATTTTAAAAATTCAGTCCAGTTTCAATGGGCAGCATGGTTGGGTCTGTGTTTTTGCTATTGTGAATAGTCCTGCAATAAACATGGGTGTGCAGGTATCTTTTTTGTAGAACGATTTGAGTTCCTCTGGGTATGTTCCCAGTAGGGGGATTGCTGGGTCATATGGAAGGTCAATTCTTTTAGAACTTGCCACATTGTTTTCCATAGAGGTTGAACCTAGTTTGCGTTCCCACTAGCAGTGTAGAAGCGTTCCATTTCTCCACATCCTCGCCAGCATGTCTTATTGGGCACTTAGATTTCAAATGAGTGGAAAAGCAAGTATTTTTTTTATAAATATGAGGGAGTTGAACTCCATTCAAATAACTCAAAACCCCCTTTTTTTTTTTTTCCAAAGAACTTCTTGAGCTTCCATCCTCAATAACTAAGAAGAAAGTACATTTCCATGGGGAAAGTAAAGAGAACGTCATGAGGAGTGAGAATTCTGAGAACCAGCTCACCTCCAGGTCCAAGTGCAAGGACCTGAAGAAAAGGCTGCATGCTGCCCAGCTGCGGGCTCAAGCCCTGTCAGATATTGAAAAAAATTATCAACTAAAAAGCAGACAGATCCTGGGCATGCGCTAGTCTACCAGACAGAGGTGTGCACAGTATTTAATATTACACCCCTTTGAAGACTGATATTCAACTGCAGTAGCTTTATATACTTGGTTCCATGAGCCATGCCTTTTTGTACAGTACGCAAATTTTGGAATTGCTTTTGCTGTTCTTCAGCAACAATTGTACAAAATGTTCATACTTTGAATTTTTCTTTCTTCTTTTAAGAATACTTTGTAGAAAGAATGATACTTTCTTGGCTGGTTGGACTTTTAATCCTGTGTGCAATTACTACTGGGAACATGAGATGTGATATTCTAAATCCTGGGAGAAAAAATAATGTTAGGAAAAAATATTTACCTAGGAGTAGCACTTTCTGAAAAGTTTTAAATGAGTGGTGTGCTTAGAATTGTCATATCTAGACTTAAAATTTAAGTCTGATGTTCTAAGTGTTTTGGAGCTTAGAAAACCTAATTGGATATACACTGGTAACTAACACCATGTCATCTAGCTTATAAATATTTCAGTGCTTTGTAGTTCAAATCTACGAGCTTTAGGAAAATTCATCACTGTGATGTCTATATTCTTTTTTCCTTCATATTCTTTTTAACAGTATATGAGATGACTGTCATTTACCCACGTCTTTCCCTCTAAATAAAATAAAATAATTCTTTAGTTTTCCTATATTTATGTCCCTTGCATTTTTTGGTCTCTTAGTTGTGGGAGTTGTGTTTATGATTTATAGATGTTTGTTGCAGGATAGGGAAGAAAACATGAATCTGATGCTCAAGAGAATGGCATTCTGATCTTAAGCTGTTTGGCGCTTTCCACTCACCTTTTTAGTCCACATAAGCCAGTGGTTCTTAACTGAGGGATTTTGCTCCCCAGCGGACATTTGGCAATGTCTGGAGACGTTTTTGATTGTCATGATTGGGAGGGGGTGGTTACACTGCTTGCTAGTGAATAGAGACCAAGGATGCAACAAAACATTTTATAACACACAGGACAGACCTTGACAACAAAATGTCAGTGGGTTTGGATTATAATCCCTAAAGACATGATCCTGAATACCATAATCCTGAACATTAAAATCCCAAAAGAGCAAAAGCCTTAAAGATCAAAATTCCTAATATCTTAAATCCAAAAAATCATAATTCCAAAATATTGAAATCTGAAAGCCAGATTCTGGGGAAAAGATTAGTGCATTTCTGCTGTACACAGGGTAGTTGCATCATGTTAGGCAGAGCTATTACCTTGTTATATGTATTTGGAAATTAAGTATGATTTAAGGAGATGAGTTTGGGTGCCAAATTGATAAAGGGTGAATTTAAGGATTTTTTTTTTTTTTTTTGAGTTGGAGTCTCACTCTGTCGCCCAGACTGGAGTGCAGTGACTGCTCCCAGCCACTGCAGCCTCGCCTGATGGGTGCCAGTGATCCTTCTGCCTCAGCCTTCCAAGTAGCTGGAATTACAGGTGCACACTACCACGCCCGGCTAAGTTTTGATTTATTGTAGAGATGAGGGCTCGCCAAGTTGCCCAGGTGTGGGTCTCGAACCCGCGGACTCAGGCAATCCACTCACCTCAGCCTCCCAAGGCACAGGATTACAGGCTGAGCCACCAAGCCTGGCTTGTTTAGGGTGTTTCAAAGATTGTAGAAGTGAAAATGCAGACAAAAAATACAATTGATCTCCCCTGCCAAATTATTCAGTACTGCCCTTTTACATATAGCACCATGTTTACTTTCAGAAAACACCCATCATCAGAGTATAAAAATTCTATAAGCTGACTGACCTGAACCAAAGACACTTGTCGATATTGAGGTTCCTCCATTGTTACAAAACATGTTAAATGGTGAGCTGTTCTTGATTAGGGGTCTGACTGTTGAAGAATATAGACTAACAGAAAAACTAGCACAAGCTTCACTTTAGCAAATGGACAGCACTTTGAAAATTTCCCACTGGATTTTATCTCTATATACAATTCATGCCCCTGCTGAATCTGAAAGATCTAGAAATTATCCACTTTTTTTTTTATTCAGAGTTTCATTCTGTCTGTCACTCAGGCTGAAGTACAGTGGTATACTCATGGCCAACACAGCCTCAACCCGCTGGGCTCAGACAGTCCTACCACCTTAACCTTCTAAGTAGCTGAAACTACAGGTGAGTGCCACCATGCCTGGTTAAATTATTTATTGTAGAGATGAGGTCTTACCAAGTTGCCCAGGCTGGTCTTAAGCCCCTGGGTTCAGGCAATCCTCTCGTCTCTGCCTCCCAAAGTGCTGAGATTATAGGCGTGAGCCACTGTGTTTGGTGAAATTATTCATTTGTTTATGTATAATGAATGACTGGAAAAAGTGAAATACTTTATTAGCATGTATTTGGAGATTTGGTGGAGTTTGCAGAAGAAAATAAGTTTCAATGGAAACTTCAAACCATAATGACCGATTTGGAGTTTGGTGTAATCAAGCCTTCTAAAAGTGAATTTTAGCCAGCTGTAGTGGCTCATGACTGTAACCACTGGCACCGTGGGAGGCCAAAGCAGGAGAATCAATTAAGCCCAGAAGTTTGAGACCAGTCTGGGCAACATAGCAAGACCTGATCTCTACAAAAAAAAATAAAATTAGCCAGGCGTGGTGGCATGTGCCTATAGTCCCAGCTGCTCTGGAGGCTGAAGTGGAAGGATCTCCTGAGCCCTGGAGGTCGAGGCTGCTGTGAGCCGTGAGCATGCCACTCACCGCATTCCAGTCTGCATTGACTCAAATAACAAAAAGTGAATTTCAAGGTGTTAACCAACAAAATTTGTTTTTTCTATTCAGCCCAATGTATTTGGTAGAAAATTCAGGAGTAGATTGACCACATAATATAGCAGTGACAAAAACTTCAGTTTAAAAATCTATCGTTTTCCTGCACTGTCATTCCAACTGATGACATTCCAGGAGCTTTTAATGAATTAAAGTCACATTTGCCTGAAGAAGCCAACAAATTTTGACTGGTTCAAAAATAAGTGTGTACATAGTAGAGTAAGAAGGCACCCAATGGTGTTGCTGTTTGATCACCAGAATCACTGCCAAATCTGTGGTCTGTGTATGAATACATGCAGAATGGATTTTCATGTACCCCAAACAACACAGAAACATGACACAAAGATAGCAAAATTTTAAATAGAGAATGCTCATGTTTACGTATGTCAAATCACAGAATTTCAAAAAGAGCAGCTAGCTCCACATAGAAAATGAATGTGACCATTATTCTCCGAGGAGAGTCAATGCGCTAAAAGAGAAAAAGCAGCTATTCATCATGCTGCAAGACTTTAAAATGTAGTTAATAATCATGGAAGTTAGCCAGCTGTTATGGATTATCTCCATGTAATTTCCCGAAATTTATTCCTGGAATATGCTTTTCATATGCCAAATATTCTTTTTAGTTTTTTTCAATTTTACATTTTTTCATTATTTTAAATTATCAGTATTATTTTCTATGATTTGCTTTACTATGTATTTCATCTTTGCTTCATTTCCAATACTGGAGGTACAAATTGTGTAGAGTTTTTTAGAAGGTTCTAATTCATTTTTTCCTGTTTTGCAAATTTGACTGCATGAAAGCACATTATCACAATATTGACTTTGTGTGTAAACATTGTGCCTGTATATAAAAACATTGAGACTTCTTCAGTAAGTGAAAAGGTGTTCCTTTTGTACATCTGTATTTGTGAAAGTTAAGATTTTCTCAGCATCTGGTCTATTTGGGTGACTGCTGTGCAGTGATTGACCCATCCTGGTTTTTGATAGCTCTCATCAAAAGACTTAGGTTGTTTGTCATCGTATTTTAGATTATTACAGTTATAAAGCTGGGTGCACAAAATTATCAACCATAGTGATATACGTTCATATATTTTCCTTTTTGACCCATTTCTTTATGAATATGGTTTGTCTGCTCATAACTGATATATGCGTGTGACTCTCATTAGTGTACTGTTTTTGCTTGCAAAAATATGTCATTATTGCCTATTTTATTGTGTAGAATGGCCTATGAAGTGTTCTGCCATCTTTTATATGTTTCTCAAATAAATTCTATTTTACAAATGTTAATTAATATCTCTTAAAGAATTAACAAATTTTTTCCAGAATTATATTTTTAGGATTTTGATCTTTCAGGATTGTGATTTTTAGGATTTAGACCAGGGATTCTGATCTTTTGGGATTTCAACATTAGGGATTATGGCATTCAGGATTGTATCTTTCGGGACACTCATCATCTCCCAGTGACAATAGTGCCCCTCTTTTTTTTTTTTTTTTTTTGAGTTGGAGTCTCACTCTGTCGCCCAGACTGGAGTGCAGTGGCCGCTCCCGGCCACCGCAGCCTCGACCTGCTGGGCTCCGGCTATCCTTCCTCCTCAGCCTTCTAAGTAGTCGGAATTACAGGCATGCGCTACCCCGCCCAGCTGATTTTTTGATTTATTGTAGAGATGAGGTCTCGCTGCCCAGGCGGGTCTCGAACCCGCGGGCTCAGGCAATCCACTCACCTAAGCCTCCCAAAGGCGCAGGATTACAGGCTGAGCCACCGAGCCCGGCTAATAGTGCCACTCTTGATAAACCTGATCTAATCTCAAACTTGCTAGGATATACCTCACCCTTGAAGGAAAGCTTTTTTATTTTGATGGATTTTTTAAAGATATGTCTGACTTTTTATCTGACTTAGCAGACTTTGCTGTGCCCATCTCATTTTTCGTGTGATATCTTCCAAGCTAACTCTTGTAGCTTAATGCAATAAGACCAAGTTATGAAGGGGTAATAATAAATGAGAGGAAATGGCTCCTTCATGTATGTAGGTCTGTTACACAGTGGTTATGTGGTTCCATCAAAGACAAATGATATCCAGGCCTTTGTGGTGGATCCAGAGATGAATCCTAATGGGACCATTTTGACATAAGTGTTGAGTAAAACTCCTAACTAGCTACACCCTTTGCAAGACCTGGTGCAAAATGAAAATGTGGGGCTCTTGTTCAAAAATCCCATGAAAGGTACCTACAAAACAAAGCAAGCCCCAGGAAAGATATATACAAAGCTTTCCCTCTTCTTCCAACCTTTCGCTCTGTTTATTGTGATGTTATTTTGTATTCAATTTTTTAAGTAAAAAACAACTTAAAATTATTTGCATGAATTTTACTGTTTATCTTTACTTTGTGCGATGCTAATTTTAAATGCAAATAGCAGAACATTTAACTCACATATGAAATCACTGAAACCACACAATTTATATATTGTGGCTCATTCCCAGGGGTGCCTCAAGCTGGCTGAAGGAACAGACACACTAGACCCTCACAGGCATCTGGGAACCCAAGACTCTGGCACTTGCTCAGTTCCCCCACCACTCCAACTCCAGTCATCAGAACTACCCAGACTTCTGGAGAAGTCGAGTCAGGCATCTTCCTTTCCCACAGGCCCACTGCCCCAACTCATGGCAGACTAGTCGCCCCCAGGGATCTTTAAACCTCCAAGCTGGGACTTCTTTTGTCCCTGGTTGGCCCTTGCCAAGACATGGCCTTCAACCGGCTGCCCACCAGGCATGTCATGGGCTGCCAGCCAGGGGAGAGGGGAAATGTGTTGGGGACAGCTGCCTCCATGCCCTCCTACTGGTAATGCTTTGGAGTTGGGATATCCAACGCCAACCCTTGCCCTGCCTGT